CCTCCTCCCCCACATCCCCCTCATCCTCCTCATCCTCCTCGTCCTCCTCCTCCTCGCTGTCTCGATACTCCGAAGTCTCCCTCGGATTGTTACTGTGAATGGAAAACTGTTCCGTCGTGCTGGCGATCCCATTGTTGTGAAAGAGTGGATTTATCAAAACCGGATTGTTAGCGTTGCTGTTCAGGAGCGTGTGAATGGTCGAGGAGGGAGCGTGGAAGAGTGGCGCCACCGTCGACGGTTCGTTGTGGATCACCTGAGGGCTTGGACTGGAACTATATCTCACTTGATGGGTCTGAGGAGCGTTCGTCGTAGGATTGAGAGAACCCTGATTGCTGAACAGCTGATAGGAGGTTGCTTGATTGTTCTGATTGTGCGCGGCATTGTGGAAAATGTATTGGTGATGATAGCCACCATTCTTGTCATCGTAGAGTGACTTGGATTGACTCGTCTGGACCGAAGGGAAGGGTGGCTGCGGCTGATAATGTTGAGGGTATCCCGTGGGATGCTGATACGAGTTGGGTCTTGGGGTTGTCGATGGCTTCGTAGGTCGAGAGGTTGTCGTAGTCGTTGAGCTCGTAGTCGATGGACGTGCTGATGTTGTTCTCTGCTGATGATCATCCGTGCCCTCGGTTGGCTCACCGTCGTCCTCGCTGTTCTCGTGCAAGCTGAGAAAAGAAAGTGAAGCGATTGACAATAGGACGAACACGAGATTTACCTACAAATAATTCGACACCTAAAATAATACTGCTCAGACAATATTCACTATGATGCAGTCGCAAGCAACGCGTACGTGGATTGGTGAAACGCGAAGCTGAGACAAATAAAAGAAATTATCATACGGCAGCAATGCGATCGAAGTAGAAATTATCAGAGTCGGATCGGCGCCTTCTCAAAATACAAGTTAAGCAAGGATACAACAGCTAGCCTCCACTGCGCAGAATTAATCTGCGGAAGAGGCATTAGGAGCGTAAAAAAGGATTGAATGGCGAAGAACAGACATGGATATGCAAATGTAGAATATGGAAAAGTACCGATTAGGAATTACCTAACGCAGCACAGATATGTATTGGGAAGGAGGAAGGCACGGGCGCCTGAGTTTCCCGAGTGTTGCCGTTCAGGTATGCTAAATGAAAGGCATTCGGTTCCTTCGGTTTTTACCGAAGCGTTCACCGTGGGTGAACGTGACTACGTAAAGAGTACGTACTTGCACCGCGCACTGGTCGGTTACGTGTCAGTGCGTAAAATCATACACGACGACAATTATCGCAAGCCGGCTCTAGTCCGGCTCTAGTCCGGAGTCGCAGCCACAATGACAAAAGTAGTCGAGTAAGCAGGCAGCCAGCCAGCCAGCCAGCCAGCCAGCCAAACAGCCAGGCAGCCAGGCAGGCAGGCAGGCAGGCAAGGACCTCTGCGTGTCGAGTGATCGAGTTTCACGAAAGATATAATATTCTGAGAAAACCGGAAACGCGGTGTCAATCGAACGACTCTGCGAATAAGAGACGCAGGACATAGAGAGAATTCTCGGTACGTATGAACACTGCTACACAGACTGCCTTTCAGCGCCACGAATGCCTTTCAATCGAATAAAAGTGCTAAGTAATCTCATTGTAAAACAATCAATCGGAAATTCCAGGAGCAGAGTATCAGCCTAATGACTGAAGCGATATCTTTCCAGATAAGGATAATAACCACGTCTCCTCGGCGTCGACGAGCCCGAGGCAGAAAGTTTAAGCTCTGTTCGCCTGTTACGACTAGGAGCTAATATTATCCTGAGACCAGACTGAAAGTAGGAAGATAAGGCAAAAGAGAAATAATATCTATTCTCCCAGAACGCACTTATAGTCAGCGCGAATTGAAGGAGTAACCCGCCCTGAATGATCGATTAGAAGTGGGCGTCAGAAAGGAGGTTTTCGAACAAGGCTGTCCCGCCTGTTCCATGTCGAAACGAGTATCCGGTGGCCGCTACAACCTTCCTACTGCCTAATACAATCCGCACAATAGCTACGTCAGTTGCACCACAAGATAAGCACAGGAATAATCGGAATCTCGACACGCGCGTCACTTCCCAATAATTGCTAAATAAAGGGACCACCCGCTATAGCTTACGAACCTGAGTGTCACTGCATTGTTGCCGTAGAGTTCAAGGTTCAAGTTGTAGAATCGTTCACTGGTGCTGCAATCGACCTCATCGACCCTCTCGCAGACCCTGGTCTCTTGGTCGAAGACGGTCCCGTTCAGGCAGAGGAACTTTATGTCCATAATCTCGTCTGAAATCAAGTCTCACGATAAAGAACAGATCATTATTCGGGGGGTCTCTGTGAGGGCTGACGATTCCTAGCAAATACTTTCTGACTTTGTTAATGTCTCATTAATTCAAAGTCATTCAACTCGTTACCATCTGTGTCCCTAATCTGATGCACCCCGATCTTCCTTGACGATCGACGGAACTAACGAATCCTTTATTTCCCATTGGATTTCAATATGCCTGATGAAGTAATCCTCCAAGGACCGTTAAGAACGTAAACTGATTTAGGACTCTTCTTGGGTTAACCGGTGACTTTACGACAGTTGAATAAGAAACATAAAGAATCTGAGTAATTTATAAGAAATCGTAGGAAGCTGTCGTAGAAAACAAATCACTTGACCTTTAAGAGTATCCCATCAAGATCGAGTGATTTTAGTATGATCTTTTACCGATCATTGCTTGGTCATTCCAGAACAGGTGGGGCTAGATCGGTTACGTCTAGAATTCAGCGTGAAACGAGCAAGCCGCTCTTAAGCGATAGTTCGAGTAATTTCGGTCATGATGAAAATGCATGTACACTGTACATCGTACAGGTTCGATTTGCGTAACCGATTATGCAAGAGAATCCCATATGGCGTGAATGCTGTCACATCCTGGCAAAAATTCACAGCATCTGCGGGCGCGAAGAGCGACTCGTTCGTTCCGGCGCAATAAATCTGATTGTCCGTCGTTCTGCGGGCCAGCACTTTTTAGTAAAATAATCAAAGGATCCGTGCTTCGTTCAAAAGTCCGCGTTTAATTGGAATTTTAAGAGGGACTCGAGAATGTCACGGCCGACCAGTTCGACAAGTGAAATGACAGCGTTACTGACCTAGGAGATGTCTCTTCTCCGCCTTATACGGATCTCATTCTTAAACGGAATCGAAAGCGCAAATACTCGTTCACCTTTTTATTTTCAATTATATCCTCTGTCCTTCATTTTTTGTTCACTTATCCCTCGACTACTCGTTTGCCAGTCGATATGGGGAACTGCCAGACGTTTGGACAGTCCGGGTTCGTTTCGTGGAATTCGACCCGATTTCATAAGACTGAATTACCTTTCTGTCCGATGGTGCAAACGTGGAACATCTGGCAACCAGTCTCCACGTCTGCATAGTATCCACCTATCACCTTTCCCTGGCACGAGAAATTCGTCTCCGGCAAATTGTCAAAATCCAGATACTGCAAGCAAAACATTGAAAATCGCACATGTAGGCGATTTATTAAAATTTCATTTCAACTAGAAGGAAACAGCAGGACGAATCCAATCGATTCTTCAACAGTCTATTATCTGATACTCACGCCAGGTTCCCCCGCGCTGCACAATCCGAAGCCATGGTGGAAGTCGAAGATCGAGATGATAACTGAAAAGAAGAAAATGAAATAGATTTGAGCGAGAGCGTTCGAGCGAACTAATAGAGAAAACGTTATATTACGCGAGAGAACTATTGCGCTCGCACAACTCCTGAAAGAAGGACAGAGTGCGGAGATGGTGGAGGTGAGGTGTAGTATACATAAGAAGGCAGGATGAGCTGGAGAGGCTCGAAGGTAAGAGGAGGTGGATGGGACTATTACAACTTTCACCGAGCTTATCTAACTCGTCGGGGCGCAGGCGCTAATTATTTCTGGCAGATTAAATAATTTTCGCCGCGTCGCGACGTCCGAGCGTTCTCGAGTAGTGCGCGAGACAGTAACCATTAGCAGGGTTACGATATTGTGTTCGTTACGTGTCTTCGTAATACGCTCCTCGTGAGACTCTCGCGACTCGAGGATTCTTAACGACACAGTTGCCGAATTTCCTGAGTCCGCTTATCCATCTTGTATGGTATTATACACATGTATACACATGTATACACATGTATCCATTGTGCGCGTTTACGTCGGCATTGCCCGGAAGTGCCCCTTTCATTGATGGAATCGATTCATCGAAGCGTCCAATCGAGCCGACATAGCCTGCTTCCTTTTTCCTTATTTCGATAACGCTGTAATAATTCCGAGAATACGTAACATTCATGAATTCGCAACAATCCTACCTTCTTGGATTAATAACAATAATCAATAATAGAACATATCTCCGATTTTATTATTTCTTTTATTTTTCAATTCACCGTTGACATTTAGACTCGGTATTTATTGGACATTTCTATTGCAATGAAGATATACATGATTAATAAATAGTCTAATAATGAAATCTAAGCCTAAGAATAAGGAATGACTGGCAAAGTGTTGTCGAACAAAGATAGATAGATAGATAAATGGCGCTGGACAACGTCTCAAATTCGACGGAGAAGAAACTGGATAGGATTTTACGATTGTAAAATGGGAGAACTGGAGACCGGACAGCAGTGACCTCGATCCGTTACACCTGCGAATTCTGACGGAAGGCGAACGTGCTGAGTCTCTACTATTTCGAGTATTCCGCTTCTACGACTACCACTAGTCCCGACAATAGATCAAGATACCCGAGTAGCCTTTGCATCGTGCTGCTCACGTTATGTCTTAGGCCTATAATGCTACAATTATATATGTACACCCACTGGAGTACACCCGTACGATGGCTACTTGCGCGTTTAACTCTCAAAATGAACGCAATGCGACAAAAACCTTTCACTGCAACTCGACTGCACGTCTCAACATATCCACATGGGCGTATCCGATTAAATTTAAACGCGATCCTTGCTAGTCGACATATTCGGTTTATTAATAAATAGACTAATACGAGCACGACAAAAAGCAGCAGCGCTTTGAACGAATGGAGTATCGCACTGCACGTCTGTTCCAGAGAATCACAACTTCTATACCGAGAATCCAATTTAGACGAGCATTTTCTCAAAACCAATCAGATTTTGAATCAATCGTAAACAGCGATTTATTAAATTGATCACTAACTAATATATCATTTTCTCAAATTATGCAAATTTCACCTGTATAACTGAAATTGTCTGTAGCCAAACGTTTCTCTTCATTTGACATCTGTCAATATGTAGTAACCCTAGTTGTCAAAAACAACAAATTCACATACATCACCCGACTAATCAACATTTCGTAAAACCAAAACAGATTTTCCACACGACTCGAAAATATATCGTGACATGACTTTTTTTTTAGTAAAGATTTTTTAGTTTCTCCCTCGTATACGCATATAAAATATGTTACTCAGCTGGCGAGATATTCGGTCAATCGAATAAAATATATCAGTGTACATTTCGACTGTTTCTATAAACGCAAAATTCACAGCAGATTTAAAAGTCTTTTGTAAATTTTTGCATTTCTTCCATTTGACGATTATTCGGCATTATTATAATGATCGAAACTCGATTTCGACAGACAAACGATTTTCCGCTAAGGAAATCCAGGCGTGTCGCGATCAGTGAAACTTCCATTGGCCAATTAAGCGAAAAGTCAAAGCAGACTCCTGGCATTCGCTCGGACGGTGCTCGTGCAATCGGCGAACATCGTCGGGCAAAGCTACGTTCGCTAGCGAGAGCGGAAAGTAGGAGGAAATGGAAAGTGGAGAAGGCCCCGTGAGGCCCCCGCATGCTTCGTCGGTTCGCCATATCGTGGATTCCTTGCTAGAAACCGAAATTTCATAAATAATTCCTCGAGCGTCCTGAGCGTTCTGAGCTACCTGAGCAGCGAACCGTGACCAAAAGTTTCAAGAAACTTACGTGTTCGCGGCGCATTCGGCGTTTCGTACTTTTCTTCGTTACAAGGGTTATAAGCAAAATAGCGAAATAAAAGATTCGAAGGTAATTCGGTCCGAGTCCCATCGGACGTTGAATATTTGCGTGCGCGCCGCTCGAGCAAACCTCGACTTGCGCAAGACCCCTTAATAAAATCACGCATTACCCAGCTATTGACTACGTCAGTGTAGACGGTGCGCCGGTGCATTTAGGGAAAGACGCGCGTCTGTACAGAAACGATCGCTCCTCTTCCGTGCGTTGCCCACTGGATTGGAGAAGCGTGGCCGAGAATGCGAGTGAATGATTCCTACTCCGGCGAGCCGGCTCGTGTAAATAGTCACGATTCACTCACGACCGGAGAACCAAGTGAGCTCGTGACTCGAGATACGCGTCTTTCGAATGACATTTCGCTAAGATTCCCCAAGACTCGCGAACGCCGCTGCGTTGTGAACCAAGATAAAACCCGAAGCCTCGACATCGGCGTGGATCGCTAAGCGGGTTAACGGTCTCGTAAAGACGTCCTTTGGTTCTTGATTACATATCCCGCACGAATCCGCGCGCCCACGAGACACGTATTGCGAATACGTACACTATGCACGTTTATACACTCAACTGTCCCAAGTCCTGGATTATCCCGCACATTCCGATTCCAATGGGAAAGTGAAGTTGTACGTCACGTAGGGTAATCGTATTTATCGGCCGATAAATCACTGACGTAACAAGGGAACAATTTCCGAAGGATTCTTAAATGGAAACAAGAGGCGACGCCAACGCCGAGAATTCCTCAAGACGCGCGTCGGAAATTTGAATATTTCGCGATCGATATCGCGACTTTTTATTACCAGTCGAAATCGAATAAATTGAAATAGAACTAAATGCGCGACGTGAAAAGAGATTTCTCGAGTGAAGGAGAACGTAGAACGTAGTGGATTTGCGCAATATTTGCTCGAGAATCTTAATCAAATGAACTTTTGAGTATAATTCGTGTTGGTTCCGATTATTTACGATAGAGTACTCCTGAGAGTTCTTCATTCTTTTACCACGTCGCCCAAAGGCCTCATCGCGAGAGGAACGGACTCCTAACTCATCCGTTAACGTGTGCTTATGCCTTGTTCACACGAATGCCACGAGATAGAATAGGCCCAGGGGCCTATAGATCCCATAGTCAGGTCGTGTGGGTGATCTACATCCACCGGATGACCTCGTGCTACAACTAGCCTACCCATTTAACCAGCTACCTATCTACGTATCCAACCAACCTACGTATCGGTGCTTTCGTCGCGCAATTACGTCAACGCTACGGAGATTTTACTTCAACACGAATGCCCGTCATTGTTTTACTTATCTTTGAGCTTCCACAGGCGGAGATTAGAATGAACCCGATAAGGGATTTCGCAGGTGTGTCCAATCGTAGCAGCAACGACTGATAGCACAGGATGTGTTATATACCGTCACGTGGGCTCGCTTGTGTAACCCAATACACCAGACGCAAATAACCAATTGATTCGTCATCGAGACTCCACGTCCGAATAATTGCCTTTAGGAGAGTCAAGTACTCGAGTGTCAGCGAATCCGATTGCGAAAGAGCCAAAAGCCAAAAGCCAAAAGCCATGCCAGGAGCGGCGCCTCGGGGCTCGATAAGGCCATCCTAATTGTCTTCCTAACTACGAGAATTATTGTTATCATTCATTTGTTATTCTTGGGTTCTTGTGACACGTAACCATAGCTAACGCCATTGCAGCCATATATATATATCTATAGACTCTTCTGTCATTCTCGCGCACGGTTCGCGTCCGTCACGATACTCGCTATGTCGATTCAAGTAATATCCGGGATGCGCGAGTGCGCAAGTGCGACTGCACCGATCGCACCGATCGCGCCGATCGCATCACACGCAGCAGGACGATACACTTTCATTATACGACGCGCTTCCAGACGTGCGTTTACATGTAGGCATGTGTGTCCCTGAGTACTCTCTTGGATCAAAGTAACCTCGGGGTGATATAACCGAGCGCGTAACGACTCGCGAGTCGTCTGTGTGAATCTCATGACATTTACCTCGTTGCGTCCTCCGACTCTTTGACTGCCTGACTGCCTGACTGCCTGACTGCCTGACTGCCTGACTCTCTGCGCAAGAGCAATGGTCCTCAGGAATTGCTGACCCCTCTTGACCGTTTCCAACATTACGAATCAAATGGGCAAAACTATTTCAGGGTGAATTATGTGCCTGACTGGAATCGACGCTCCTCGCGAGAAGGAATCTGAGAATCCTTCTGTAGAGGTATGGTATCAGGCATGGCACTGCATATACACGCAAGTACAAAGCAATGGCCGATGATACGGGAAGAGATCCTCGTTTCAAGGAATTAATTACAGACCCATGCAAATTGGCTGATCTTACTAGTTTATCGTATGCCGATCTCGTGTCCCTACTACTTCTGCTACGATTTGCTTCGAGAGTAATAACGCCTTTGCCTTTTTCTCTCAACCTCTGAGGTTCCTTGGCTCCTTGGCTCCTTGGCTCCTTGGGTTTACGTATCAAGAGTCAAAGATTGCTCAATCGGCATCGACTCCTATCGCTTTAAGCAGTACGTGTATACATACTCGTAAATATCTATATAGCTACGATCTTCCCACAGATTTTTATTGCTGCTCGCGGAGAAGAGTTACACTTTCCGTTC